CGGTAGCATTTAGCTGCAACGCGCACAATGTTGGAGGCATCGCGTGGCTCAAACATCTTTATGTCGTCTAAAAAAGATGATATCAACTTGTTGGTTCCCCTGTCCATTGTCGGCTGATATTTTTTGAAAATCTGGCAGAAATGCTACACTAATCGACTCAGAAATACTCTGCAGAGAGTCAGTCGAAACGAAAGACGCCATGGTTACACATAGAACCTAAGCTCCGAGAGGCTTTGTTTGTGAGACATGCAGCCACGTGGGATTTTAGGGGGCGTTTCTGGGCGGAGCTTGGTAAGGTCCGTGTACCTTGGATTTCGTAAGACCGTTTTCCCTCCTCCCCCGTAATGCAATTGGACGAACAGGTGTCTGTCAGTAACAGTTGACCAATCAGGAAAGACTAAAGTTTGAGGGGGCGGGACCTTGATCAAGTCCGATAGGGAAAGAGCGATACGTGAAGAAACGGAAAGGAAGAATGGCGGCGCTTCGTTAAAGATTTTTCTAGTGTGAGTTTTAGTTTTAACAGTAACTTGTTTTAATGTTCGGACGTCTGATGTCATTTGTTGTAAATTAGATTAAGAAAATTCTTTAGTGCTGTCACTTGCGTTTTATGGAGCCTGTAGATTGTTAGGAAGGCGATGCCCATGCTTACTATTTTGTTAGCTTCAATGTGCTCATGGGCAAGCAGTTTCTGAAAGCATTTTATGGGAGTTTGTGTTTCATGACTGTACTTTGTTTTGTGAACTAATTTGGGATTTGTGTAAAATCTAATGTAGGGCTTTGAAGAGATGCCACGGAAGCGCTCAGGAAGCTGTCTCTGCTAACCCTGAGGCCCATGTTCATCCAGCCTGGGCAGAGAACCAGAACCTTAAAGCTACCTGGACATAAGGGTTTGAAACTGACTGGATATCACGGATGAGATCTCCTGAGGTAACTGTGAGTACAATTGCACATCAGAAATACTCCAATGAGTTCCAGCCATGTAGTAGACTACCGCCAACTGAGCACTAAAAACTAAACGTTCCGGGTATTTCAGTTCTAACAATCAACAGTGTAATATACCACTGCCATGTTTTTCTTTTGGGTAATAATTGTTACTTTCATGTTTTAAAGGTTCAGATGTGGTTGATTTAGGTGCAGACCAGTAACATTAAGGCCTATGGCTCATAATGGGAGTTTCCTGATGTAGAGCAGCTACACTAATTCAGCCAGACATCTTTTTTTCCAATTTGAGGTTATACTTTTAGGTTTTGGTTGAACCATATATTGTGTAGGTAGCTAATAATTTAGCTGTTTCATGCATAAAATCTAGTTTTGGTGTCTTTGAAAGAACATAATAAAGCTGGCTTCTGTAGGATTATTAGTAGTAGCTATTCTCGGGTTCTAATAAATGTGCAATTTAAAAATTGTACAAATTTTGAATATTTGTCCATAAAAACACATTATTTAGAATAATATGTATAATCTGCAAAACAACAGGAAGGTAAACATTTCATTGAGTTTGTTCTGTCAGTAATTGTTCTAGTTTAGGGGTCTGCAACCTTTACAATCCAATGAACCATTTTTGTCCTTTGTCCATTTAACTAAAATTCAGTTAGAGCTACAAATGTTACCTGACCTTTTGAAAGAAGACATAATTTTTGATTAGTAACCTAGGAAATGTCAAATTTAAGGAACCGCATGTTTGTTTCTCTTTATTTTAGAACAAACAAAAACAATATTTTCAACAAAACTTGGTTTTTAAAAATATTACAGGTACTGCAATATTTTTGCAGTACCTTCAATGTCATGATTGAATTACATTGAATTCAATGTAATTCAATCACGACATTGAATTGTGGTAATTCAATGTAATGATTTCTTAAACATTTAAACTGCTAAAACCTGGACTTGTCTATATTTACATTTAAAAACATTAATTGGGTTTTTAATCTTTGCTTAGCCATAATTATTAAGAACCATTGGGGAAGGTCCAAAGAGCTCTTATGTCTGTCTAGCAGCTGCTGGGAGGAAGGACCTGTGATAACGCTCCTTTGTGCTCCCATGATGCATCAGTCTCTCACTGAAGGAGTTGTGTTCATTAGCTTGATTATACTTCTTTAGATTGTTATTGCTGTTAAAATGAAATCTGTTCTATTCTCGCTAAACACAAAGATTCATCTTTCTTCATCTGTTGCAAAATTTTTTTGTCAAATTAATTTAAAATTTGATATATTAAAAACTAAGTGAAGCTTTCTGTAGGCAAGTTCTTTTGGAGAAAGGTTCAGGGTGTAATCTGGGTGAAATGTTATCTATTACAGTAAAATCAAAGCAGAGAAATGCAGTAGAGTGTGCAGAGATGAAGAATCACGCAGAGATTTGGCGTTTTGAGGCCTTTTCAGCAGGGAGCTCTGCTGATTCCCAGCAGCTGTGCGTGATCTCAGACACTCTGCTTCAGAAGCTGCAGCCAAGCTTGTGTGTAAATCTGTGTATTCAGGTGCGCCGCGTGAAGTCATCTCACACAAAGAGGCCAAACTAAAGATTTGCAGGGAAGCTGGAGTTTCCAGGCCAAAACCTTTTATTCTTCCACCACTCACCCTTTTATTGTCTCAGCTACACTTTCTTCCGCTGCACCAGCTCTTGTTTGAACTCTTCCAGTTTTGACTTTTCGTCCCTCACCCACACACCTCTTCTTGTGCGTCATTAATGGGGATTTGTTTCCAGCTTTAACAGTCATCCCTGTCCTGCAGCCGAGTGAAATAAGAACGCCACATGGCGTGTAGCCAACTTCAAGCTCTGTTTGGAGTCCTGTCTGTTGCGCTGTGGGATTTCAATCGGATTCTCTTCTTCCTTTTTCATAAACACGACGAAACAGTTCTGCTGGTTTACCAGATCTAAAACTCAGCTAGCGTTCTATCTCTTAAATCTTAGCTGGATATTCCAAATGTCAAGATCACGGAAGTTCAAAACACGACTTGTCCGCACTATTCATTTATGTTGGGAAAAGACGCCACAACAAAAAGAGGCCACCAATCTCATGATGTAACATTACATGAACCAAAGTGTGATAAGTATTTGTGCCAAATTGTAAATTACTGAAATCTTGTAGTCAGAAATACTGGAAAAGTGAAAAATCTGTAAAACTAATTTGTCTGAATAGTTAAATAAGTGAATCAGTAATACTCAGAAATAGGCTGTATTTTGTCAGACATGCAGGATCACTTCTCTGTGCCAGAGTAGTCGTATTGGTTATAAAAGGCTCAGTTTTCATGCCTGTCTTAGCCAAAGGGCACTACACCGGGACAATTGCCATACATGGAGGGGGTACATCTCTTCAGAGACCACCAGACTCCATTTTGTTTTAGTTTCACTGCAGAAACCAGATTTTGTCAACAAAAACATAATCTTATGGGAAAAGGGCGAGCTTGGACTTTCCATGTTTCTTCAGCGTCGGGTTTGTGAAAGAGAATATGAAACAAATCAGAATTTCTTACTCCTACGATACATTTTATGCACCACTGACTCATCTTTTCTCAGTGTCTGAGCCAAATGAATGACGAATTGCGTGTATATAATGCAACTTCTTTCCATCGCATATCTTACTTGGTCAGAAGTGTCTTTTTCAGGCCTGTCTTTCTGAAAGCTGCCAAAATATTATAATGTTTTTGAATTAGAGGTCCAAGTGGTCTTCCACCACTCTGAGCTACAGGCAGATGGGGATCAACAGAGCTTTTAAATCCTTGTTCAAGGTGTCCGTCTGTCAGGTGTCAAAGTAATTTCTCTTCCTTCAATAATGTCCCTCGTTTAAAATCACATACAAGATGAAAACTTTGCCATAAATGTGTCCCACTTGGTTCCATTGTGTTGCTCATTGATGCCCGAGTTGGGATTCCTATTGTGTCTTCATCATTTTCCCTATTAATAACATACGTTTTGATGATTTCTTATACTGTCGCTATGCTACCTCTGGATTCCAAAGCCAGCCAAAGCAGCACCTGTTGTAAAGAGGACCGACTAGCCATGCCAGTCAAATGAAGGCCTGGAAAACATGAGGACAGGAACATTTGACTATTTGATATCTTGCAAGAAAGTAAAAATATTCCCTTAAACTCATTTCTATGTCCATTGTGGGAATTTAGTAATTGAAGACTACACAACAATGATACCGCAATCTAGCAGAAGAACATTATGTGAACATGGGCGTGTTGCATAAGTGTTTTTGTGCAGGAAACGGCTGAAATCACAAAGGAAAATCTCCAGGTAATTCAGCCATAGAACAGGAGCTGAAAATGACTCTGTGGGATGTTTTTATTACTGAGTTTCTGTTACTTTAACCTCTTTCTCTGAGGTAACCAAGTCCCAGAAGGACAGCGTCAGTGTGAGTCCAAGGGCGTTCTCAGGGATGGAAGGACGACTGTCCTGCTTTGCTCCTGCATCACTAGCACATGAAAACATTTAGTCGTTTTAAGTTACCATTATTCCAATTAGATGATTAATGTTGTAAAAAGAGGCAGAAAGCTTGCGTAACTACTTGCACTCTGGTTCAACTTTCCTCACGCTGGGATGGTCAGGATATGATACATCTAATTATCTTGTAATTACACCTTTTTTTCTCCAGGTTTAGTAATATAATCTGCCTGCTGGATACAGCAGGCAGATTATATGAGATGAGACACAGTGAGACAAAAACCTGCAGCTTCAGTCCAAGTTCTTCTGTGTTCCAGCCACATGTTGAATCCTCATAAACGTCACAATTGTTGCAAACTCCACCAGTAGGCAAGAATGTTCGTAAAATCTCCGGAAAAGCTGGATGACAGTTTATCTGCCCTTCAGGAACGTCGGACATCCGCTCCAACTTGAAGTCTTTGTCTTCCACAGCATCACTCCTACGACTGCAGCTGTGGAGAACCAGACAGGAGGTCATGAACAAGACTCTGTTGGACGACTTTGAGCCAGCGTGGAAACAAACACCTCATCTATAAACCAAACAAGACGAAGGAGATCATTGAGGAATAAGCCGAAGAGTAAGTCCTGTGAGGCAAGGTGGAGATGACTGGAAGATTTGTGTTTCATGAAAATAAACCTCTGAAGCTTTATGAACTCGCTTTCGGTCCAATATAATCTATGTATAGTTCATAAATTAATTTCATTACTTGTTTTGGGGCTGCAACTGACTTATTTTGGTAATCAGCCATTGAATTGATTAATTGTATAGAAATAATTTCTACATTCAGGAGAATGTGGAAATTTTGCTGCTACGCCATCCTACCACATTGCATGTAACGCTCTCTGTCCTTGGTTCCCCAAACTGGTGGAAACGGGTGTCACCTCTCAACAAAGCACCAACGTTTGAAGGCAGCCAAACTGGAGCGATTCAAGAATGAAAGTTCTTTTGGTGGAAGCAAGCTAATGTTGTTACTGGGATCTGCTTGTTTGCTGATATAGTGGTGGAAATGAGACTGGATTTTCAATCACTAATACATGCTGGTCCAGAGTAAGTGGAGGAAAAATAACAAAATCAGCCAATGTTCAAGAAAGAAGAGTGAAATCTTCCTCTGATTTTCATTCTTGAAACAAATGATTGCATTAGTGCGATTCTGCAAACAAGTGTGCAGTTTAAGGAGAGGTCCCCGACCTTACTGAGCTGCTGCAGCTGCTGACTGACGGCAAACGTTGCTCCAACAAGAGAGCTGTCAGCTGGAACAATGGGAAGGATTCAGTACCTCCATCATGACTATTAATCAACACAGGGTGTGAAGAAAGATGGATGTTCCCAGTCAGCTAGGTCCAAACAAGCTGAAAATAGAAACTTTTCAGCAGAAGAAGCAAAAACCAGAACTTCTGACTTAATTATACCACTGAATGTTCAATGTATGATCAGTAAGCGGGTCGCGCCAAGGTCACCCTGATCCTCACGGATATCCCTGCACAGACTTGCGGTGTGGAAACTTGCCGCCACTGAGGCTCCCTGGCACCGAGCTCAGCATTCTTCTCCTGACCGTCACTGTTGGATTCCTCCGGGCGCTGCCCTTAAACCGTATACCACCGCCATACTTCTCTGCCAGTTTACGGACTTCAGATTCCTGCATGGTTTCCACCCTGTAGTCTGACCTACAACGCTGTCCATCCACTCTGCCAGCAGCTCCAGTATGCATACCAATGATGCCTTTATATTCCCATTGTCCGGAGGTTACACCTGTAAACATAGGCAGGTTTTATTAGGGGAGTTGAGTTCCAGCTGGTGTAAGGACACACCAGTGTTGCTTCTATCAGCACATCTCTTCTTACTGACGAAATTTCAAAAACAAAACCTATTGGGCTGCAGCCAGACACAAGTCATATGTGTCACTGTGAAGAAAGTCTGGCTGCTGGACACATCTACTAAACACGGACAGTATCCAAAACAAACACTTCCACTGCTGACATGGAGTTATGTGCTGTGTGTCTGTCCGCGCTAAAGTGCCAACCTGACAAACGACTCAAACCTTCCCAACGTCAAAGCTAAACCCAGGTTTCTCTTTTAGCTCCCTCGCAGCGCAGCCCAGTCCTAAAGGCAGATTACAGATTTTAGAGTCGGTACAATTTCCCTGTTTTGTTTTTCTCGTCAGACATCTCTGTAAAATCTGGACGAAGTGAGATTTATCCCGATACACCTCAATAATTCAGTTCTAAAAAACAATCAATATTTTTAATACAGAAATGTGGTGCCTGCTGAGAGGTTCGTCCGCAGTATCTGCTCCCAGTACGTCTGGGTTCCTTTTGCATGAATTACAGCATCGAAGCAGCTGCTTGGGTGTTAACACCACTGAGCAACAGACCAGTACTTTTTCTCCTTAGCCCAGGAAAAATACTGCTGATGTAGTCTGTGGTCCAGTAGTGCCTTGAAACAAGGAATGTGACAGTTGTGGCAAACGTCCTGGATACGTCTGTGTGCTGTGGCCCTTGAAACTTTGAATCCAGCTACAGAGAAACGGAGGGTGTTTACCCACCTGATAGTCCTGTAGACTTGGTTTAATTAACGACAAAACTGCAACATTTGTTCCATTTTCATCTGCTGCGGTTCTTTCACGCTGCACTTTCAAATCAACCAAATCCTTTGAGCAACTTGTTACCCCCACCCCCTTTGTGGTGGCGCTTCACCAAGAACCACTGAAGGAAACGACACAAAACTTCTGAAAAGACACTGAGCTTATCTGCCTTTCTTCACAAAATGTAAACAAAAATGGAGTGGTTTTGGATGTTAGTGGTTGGAGGATTTCTCTTATGTCTTTGGTTAAAGACCATGAACAATTAAAAATTTCTGGGTGCATTTTGAACTCCAATACTGGTGGATCCCAAGGATAAAACACTCAAACACAAGCTCAGCTGTGTTGTTTATGCAGTCCTATGTATTGAGGAATCTTAAGTTGTACATCAACTATTATATATCAGTTTGTGCTGTTCTTGCAGCACAAACTGATTGCACAACACGTGAGAGCAAACGTCTTGGGCCAAGAAAAACACCGTTTTATTTATGTATTAAAGTGATGGAACTCTCAACGGAAGACATTTTACAAGGGAACACAGGTGATTTGAGAATGGAGTATATGAGAGGCCACCTATGTTCAACATAAAAAAGTGAACAGGATTTTGTCTGTCTAAAGCCTTCTCTGGAGCTTTGACTCGTCTCCACAGCTGGTTCTTCAGCAAGTCACACCTTGGGATATATGACCAAAATAAACGTTGCATGGCATCATTATGGACATGCTTGGATTGTCAGGCAACTACAACCCAAAAGATTGAGCTGAACGGAAAGTAGGGGCAGTGACTTGTGTCCTAATTGCCCCATTGGGTGATTGTGGTTCACTGGGTATATGTCTTGCAGTCAGAAGGTTGTGGGTAGATTCTAGCTCCCCCCAGCCACATGTTGATGTACCCCTTGTCCAGGTAAAGTGTCTTCACTTTAACTGTTGCCTGTTTCCTATTGATCTGTATTGGTATGGATGTGCGCATTAGGGAGTGTGGTTTGTGAATTTTACCATTAGTGGGATTGTTCTTACTAAAACCTCTAAGACTGTTACTTCTGGTCATGTTCAGAACTGAATAAACCTTTTGGATGAGTAGGAAACAACTTACAAAAGCAAGAGAAGTCCAGTTGCTCTTGGCATAAGCACTTGAACAGTGTATTTTCTGTATGTCTTGCTGTATACTAAACGTTTGGCATTGCTCAGGCAATAAGATCTGAGGCAAAGGACAAATTATATGGAAACCAATTTAATTCCTTCAGAAGTCTCTAAAAGTTGATGTGAGGAGAAAGAAATGGACCAAATCTCTGCTGGACCACCCGCCAACATGGAGACTTTCACAATGACGCGACATGCACTGTCTCAAACCTCCGCCAGGCACCACATCAGGGATGAGTTGAAGACACAAAACACCCATGCAGTAATTCTTCGAGTACTTCCAAAACCTATTAATTTGTCTCTGCTAGAAGAGTGGAGATGGCCTGAAGTGAAATGATGTTGCACTGCTGACACGTATCTGTTCTTATCCAGACAAGCAGGGGCATGCTTCTTCAGTGTCTGCATCTTCCAAACTCAAGCATCAGTTCCAGAAATTCAACCAGAACAAGCAGAGGCCACATAGCGAAGCCTCAAGCTTAATAAGAGTGTCAGACAACACAATGTTTTGATTCTTCTGAGTTTTAAACCTCAGGAACGGCAATGCAACATTCCCAGTGTCACATCTCTGCTCATCCAGTAATCCACCTGACCTTCTGTCTTCATTTTCAGCAGGAAACCAAAATAAAATCAGTAACACGTTGAGAATGATGGAAGGTAATGGAGTTCTTATGGAGATGTCTTTATTCTGGCATTTATGTGCCAAGATTTATCAGGGAGTCCAAATATCTGCTCCTGTCAAGGGTTTCAACCACACAGTCTCCAAAACTACATAGATACATGGGGCCAATAGTGCATAGGGGCCAATATACACTGCTCAAAAAAATAAAGGGAACACTCAAATAACACATCCTAGATCTGAATGAATGAAATATTCTCATTGAATACTTTGTTCTGTATAAAGTTGAATGTGCTGACAACAAAATCACACAAAAATCATCAATGGAAATCAAATTTTTATTAACCAATGGAGGCCTGGATTTGGAGCCACACACAAAATTAAAGTCAAATGTTCCCTTTATCTTTTTTGAGCAGTATAGTTTTCAGTCCTCACCTTCGGCCGATAAGACAATCTTCTTTGGTAGTTGGAAGAGGATCATGTTTAGTGTTAGTAAATGATTTGCTCAGTGGTCTTTTTTTTTTTTAACCAATTCATGAGGATTATTTCAGGGATGCAGGTTTTGGGGTCGGTCTTGACCTGACCTTTTTTAATCTGGTCTTTACCTTAGAGGGCCCGGTGTTGGAAGAACCAGTCTATGCCAGAAGTGACAACTCTTCCTTTCTCTGTTTTTTTTTCTTTCTTTTTTAATCTTACAACTATTGTGCAATGTAAGCTGATTAATTCAGTTTAGACGATGTGTATCAATGTTTGGCTGCATTTGATAAATATGAGTTTATTATGGCAGTTATTCATTTAGGAAATAGTTTTGTTTGAGTAACAGTTTTCCATAAATCTTTGCATTTTGTGGTGTTCAAAAAACCCTGAATGTCAAAGTTCTGGTCTTGGTCTTGGAAGAACCGCCTTGACAAAATGTAAACTACAGCCAGTTCAGCTCAACCTTTGAGTGCTTATCTTTTATTTATTCAGGCATGGAGCTAGTATCAATTTTACACTCTTGGAAATGTTTGAAATGACCCACATAAATGAAGCAAGACTCTTTTTGTATGTCAGTGAAAATGTGCTGAAGTTGCCAGAGGACATACAGAGGGGTTCATGGCAGGAATCTATTGTGCTGTAGAGTTCAATAAAATCTGGTTGATTGGCTGACCAGGATATAAGAGTTGGGTTTTGTTTTCTCTCTTCATTGAAGCTACATGTTCAAGCCAGTAGAAGTTGCTGAAGAGGGACGAACAAAAACAGCTCAAAGGATACAAGCGCAGATGTTTAGAAATGTAGCTACAGACATGAAGGAGAGATGGAGAAGTTTGACAGTGAAAAGA